CGTGCACCCTTCTCGAGCTTAAGTCTGACTGTGATTCTTGCAGTCACTGCTGATGAGGTTTTTTTGAATTGAGAGCTAATTCACATCCCATAAAATGCACCCTCTTAGAGTGCACAATTCACTGATTCTTAGTACATTCTCAAAGTTATGCAACTATCACCACTCGCATTAGAACATATTCATTGGTCGCAAAAGAAACCATTAGAAGTCACACCTGTTCTCCCTTTTCCCCAGTCCCTGGCAACCACTAATCTACTTTTTGTCTCTGTGGATTTTATATAAATGAAATATTACAATATGTGCAAGACATGGCTTTTGGGCTTGTCATCTTTCACTTAGCATAATGTTTTCAAGGTTCATCTGTGTCATAGCGTGTATCAGCAGTTCTTTCCTTTTTATGGTTTAATAATACTCCATGGTACGGACAGACCATATATTACTTATTTATATATTATATCTACATAATATCTATGATATATACATATTAATTATTCATTAATTCATGGATATTTTCGTTGTTTCCACTCTGGGTCTCTTACGGATGCTTATGCTATGAACATTTGCGTGCAAGTTTCCGTGTGGGTGAGTTTCTGCTTCTCCCACATATATACCTAGGAGTGGAATTGCTGTTCACATATTAACTCTATGTTCAACTTTTTGAGGAACTGCTAAACTGTTTTCCAAAGCAACTACACCATTTTATGTTCCCATCAGAAGAGTATGAGGATTCCAACTCCTCCACATCTTTACCAACATGTAACATTGTCCATCTTTTTGATGATGGCTGTCCTAGTGGTATGAAGTAGTATCTCATTGTGGTTTTAATTTAATTTTCCTTAACAGCTAATGGTGTTGAGCATGTTTCTGTGTGCTTATTTACCATTCGTATATTGTTTTGGAAAAATGACTGTTCCAAGCCTTTGCTCATCTTTTGAGTTATTTCTGTTTTTATTGTTGACTCGTAAGGGTTCTTTATATATTCTGGGTACTAGCCCTTTCTCAGAGACTGACTTACAGTTATTCTCTCATTCTGTGTGTTGTCTTCCACCTTCTTGAGAATGCCTTTCAAAGAATAAATTTTTAATTTTGATGAAGTCCAATTTATATATTTTTTTCTGCGATGGCTTATATTTTTGGTGTCCTATCTGTCCAAAGGCTCTTAACACCCTTAATGTCTTGTCCAAGACAATACTGAGCAACATTCAGGTGGTAGCGGCCCATCTCTGTTTTAAGGTGTGATCTTTTCCTGTTTGAGCTGGCCAGGGCTCTCTCTCAAAAGGCTCTCGAGGAAGGACATGGAGGGCTTGCACCATGGACACAACTGGGACACTGCTTCCAAAGATAGGTTGAGAGATGTTCAAGGAATAAATTGTGGGCCAGGGTGATCTCTGGTTACAGCTCTCTTTCACCTCACTTGAGAGGAGCAACTCATTCTTACTTGCTTTAAAACTCTTTAAAATATAGGCAGTGACAGATACTGAGTTCTTCTCTGTGAGCTTCTTCAAACCTTCCCTTGGCCTCTTGGCTTTCACTCAAGGTCAATCTGAGTGACATATTCTCCCCACCAAGATCAGGCAGAGAGCCCTCCCGATGTGGCCTTGATCCAGTTCTGTGGTAGACGCCACTAATCTTAATGCCTTAGGGGCATCTCTTCTGTCCTGCTCTCTGCTGGGCAGATGGTCTGAGCCACAGCAGTCCTTGTCTCTTTGAAGGCCACTTATGGGTTTTGCCCTCTGAAAGACTTGTGATTCTGACAAAGCCTGCCTCTGGGCTCTGATGGAATTCACTCACAGAGCTAACTGGAGTCTTCAAAAGGTCCTTTGGAAACCCAGTCTATCTCAGAGCAGGAGGGATCCAACCAGGAGATGCCCGTGGTCTACTCAGGGACGCCATCTTGCTCTCCTCATTTGACAAAGACCCCTGACATCTGATGTGTGGGGTCCCAAG